ACTTCAAACTTTTGGAACATTTGTTTCTTTCAACCACTTTGTTTTCTTCGAATGATTCGAGTTTCTTGTTGTTAATTATTTAGTCGACAGCACATATTATGAATTTTTTAATTTTTTTTATTATTAAAACAAAGACTTATGATTGAGAGACCATTCTAATGAAGCAGAGTCATGGTGTTTTAACGAAAATGTCCAGGAGAGGGAAATATAACGAGGAAAATCGTTCAAGGCAGACTTAATCATGGATGAGGATTCGACGGACAATAACATATGCGTGATCAAGAGTAGGAGAGCTCTGAAACCCTCACAGCAAATAAACGACGAATATCTCTTAAGCCTATGAATAGAGCACTCATCGTTGGCGAGCTATGCGGATTATACGTCACCGGGGGTCATTAATCAACTGACAACGACGAAAAGTCGATATTTGAGAGATTAATCGAAATCATGTCTATGAGTTGTTAAGTCATCTCCAAACAATAACAAGATGGATATCTCCACCATTCGGGCAAAAACTCAGTTACGATCGAGCAAATGGTAATTTCATGTAAGACAGAATATTTCACGCGCACGAAGGCTTTTGAGGGCGAACGGCCCAATGAGATTTTGACATATGGGCTGTAAGTGGAGAACTCTTTATCAAATGCATGATGTCAACGGCAGACATGCAAAAAGACAGTCAGTTGTTACGGGCGCTCAAATCGATGTTAACTCAGAGCTCGGCTCCAAATGGTTCATGGGCCGGGGAACATTCAGTAGTTCCAAATCTCCTTAGAAAATGCAAGTCATTTGGTGGGAGCACAAGCAGCTTGCAACAAACTGAGGGGATTCCCTATACCACATTATGAATCATTTCGGGGCTAATAACATTAAGACCGCGTTCATACTTTGCGTCAGCGTTTTGAGCGTACGCCAGCCTTGCAAAGAGACTTTCCAGCCTCGAGCAAATAGTAGGCGTCCCCCCCCCTTGTACAGGCAGGTCTGCTCCTCAGTTTTCGAGATTATCCCACCCGCAGCGGCAGCTTTGAAGTCTTCCTAGTCGCCCCGCCTCACCAAGACTGAGGGCCATTTTCTGTCACGAGTTCAGTTTTTACACCGTGCTTTTTCTTTTTTTTCCGGTGCTGGACAGTATTAGCATTGGATAAAGCGAAGAAGCAGAAACCTTAATGAGCCACAGGCGGCAAGATTTTTTTCTCCCCCAGAGATAGCGACTGTGGACTTGTAACTGAACGCCATTCTAGCCGCAATATACAGTGGTGGAGTCTCCCTTCAAGCGTTCCGAGGGGCAGTGGTTGAAAAAAGCTGGTATGCGTTCAAAACACGCGAACCATATCTATACTTACCTAGATTTTCAAAACGCTGCTATAGGCTCGAGACGCTGCCGTACGCTCAAAACGCTGACGCAAAGTATGAACACAGCCCGGGAGAGGGGCATTCCAAAGAATCCTTCAGCGAAAATTAGTGTAAATGCGTCCAAATAGATATCCCATCGTTGATGGTGATCCATCAGCCCTTTCTGAGCTCCTCCCTCAGGCCTAAGCGAAACTTCTCACCTTCATTGTGAAAACGAAACCCCTCACCCAGTTCTTCACAGAGTCCACTTAATGCCACCAAGGACCACCAATGCCACTGTGACCGATTTGTTCTTCATCATCCTACTATATATAATCCGCTATGTGCGTCTGTGTGTGTGTCTGTGTGTGTGT